GCCAGTTCAGTAGTCATGTACCACACTCTAGTGGCCACTCGAGTTCATGTCATTCGTTCGTCCTTAAAACATTTGTACACAATTGTAAGTCTTACTTCATAACCTTTTTAAGAGAAATAAACATATATATTTTTGTATTTGCTTACTAAAATCAGGTCCTAGGTCGTTCAGATTACTCTAGTTGTTATAACAAAAACCAGTAGTAGTAGTAGTAGTAGTAGTAGTGAATGTCAACATCCAGCTTTATTTAAGAGAATTTCATGTTCTTCACACAAACACCATCATTAAAGTCTGTACACAGATCATACGTATTAGTTTCATATACACTACCAGTCAAAACATTGGATACACCTACTCATTCAAGGGTTTTTCTTTATTTTTACTATTTTTTACATTGTAGAATGATAGTGAAGACATCAAAACTACGAAATAACACATATGGAATCATGTAGTAACCAAAAAAGTGTTAAACAAATCAAAATATATTTGACATTTGAGAATCTTCAAAGTAGCCACCCTTTGCCTTGATGACAGCTTTGCACACTCTTGGCATTCTCTCAACCAGCTTCATGAGGTAGTCACCTGGAATGCATTTCAATTAACAGGTGTGCCTTGTTAAAAGTTAATTTGTGGAATTTCTTTCCTTCTTAATGCGTTTGAGCCAATCAGTTGTGTTGTGACAAGGTAGGGGTGGTATACAGAAGATAGCCCTATTTGGTAAAAGACCAAGTCCATAATACGGTAAGAACAGCTCAAATAAGCAAAGAGAAACGACAGTCCATCATTACTTTAAAGACATGAAGGTAAGTCAATACGGAAAATGTAGAACTTTGAAAGTTTCTTCAAGTGCAGCCGCAAAAACCATCAAGCACTATGATGAAACTGGCTCTCATGAGGACCACCACAGGAATGGAAGACCCAGAGTTACCTCTGCTGCAGAGGATAAGTTCATTAAAGTTACCAACCTCAGAAATTGCAGCCCAAATAAATGTCCAAATTGGTTTTTGGTTCCAACCGCCATGTCTTTGTGAGACGTGGTGTGGGTGAACGGATGATCTCTGCATGTGTAGTTCCCACCGTAAAGCTTGGAGGAGGTGGTGTTATGGTGTGGGGGTGCTTTGCTGGTGACACTGTCTGTGATTTATTTAGAATTCAACGCACACTTAACCAGCATGGCTACCAAAGCATTCTGCAGCAATACGCCATCCAGTCTGGTTTGGGCTTAGTGGGACTATCATTTGTTTTTCAACAGGACATTGACCCAACACACCTCTAGGCTGTGTAAGGGCTATTTTACAAAGAAGGAGAGTGATGGAGTGCTGCATCAGATGACCTGGCCTCCACAATCCCCCGACCTCAACCCAATTGAGATGGTTTGGGATGAGTCGGACGGCAGAGTGAAGGAAAAGCAGCCAACAAGTGCTCAGCATATGTGGGAACTCCTTCAATACTGTTGGAATAGCATTCCAGGTGAAGCTGGTTGAGACAATGCCAAGAGTGTGCAAAGCTGTCATCAAGGCAAAGGGTGGCTATTTGAAGAATCTCAAATATAAAATATATTTTAATTTGTTTAACACTTTTTTGGTTACTACATGATTCCATGTGTTATTTCATAGTGTTGATGTCTTCACTATTATTCTACAATGTAGAAAATAGTAAAAAAAAAGAAAAATACTTGAATGAGTAGGTGTGTCCAAACTTTTGACTGGTACTGTACATTCTGTTGGCACAAATCATTACAATTTACAAAACAGTTTTATGTTCATCAATGCATCAAAAACAACAGCTAAGGGTTATGTCTGTGTAGTCACATGCATGAATACTGTTTGCAGGTCTGTAAGTATCATCTCAGCAAGAGATAGTCTAAAAATTATTTTTGCTTACATTTGATATCTGCATTTGGTACATATAAATCTCTCCTGATTCATAAAAAGCACACACACCTCTTTTAGAATTGAGTTTAACTTGAATTGAGAACCTGTTTGATTATTCATTCTTGCTATAGGCCACAACAAACTCAATCACAAAAACAACTTGTTCCTTGGTTTTATACAATCTTAACTCAGAAAACAAAACAAACCGATGGCCTTGCCAGACTGTTTAGAGGTTTCTGGTTCTTTGATCATTTCCTCAATGCCTTCTGCTAATAGGATACATTAGTTCACTTTTTAGGTGGACTCCCATATAGCCGCAATGGGGAATCCACAAGTAGCAAAGGAGAGGGTTCGAGAGATTATTTGCAATTGTGTCAAGTACTCAATTGTGACCCTCATCGTTGAGAAATATGGGTGCAACGCGAGAGAATGATCCTGGACGAATACCTCCTTCGTATTGGAACAGGGCCAGAAGCTCTACATTCATACTTAGAAGTTTGACCCCTGACCTCCAAAGCTACTCAGTTTTCCTCCTCTATTTTATTATAAACATCTGATATATGAAAAACACAGAGGCCCGGCAAGAAAAAGGAAGCAACCCACAAAAGGTTAGTGAAGTAGTATATCAGTCATAGTAAAACAGTTGCTACTCCTCTCTTAGGCACTTTAAAGAATCAGTAGCAAGAGCTTGGACTTAAGTCACACATCACATTTGCAACAAAGCGCACTTACTATAATGGAGCATAGCACACAGCACACAACCTGGATAGGCTGAAAGGTAGAACGATGAAGTTGTCCATGCACACAGATCTAGGGTCAGTTTTACGTTAGCTCCCGCTAATAATTATGGTTAGGATTTGAGGAAGTTAAGCTGATCCTGGATCTGTGCCTAAGGGCCAACTTGAACCGGGAGCAGGCAGGCAGTAGCTGTAGGAGGTATACAGGACACCAATGCAACCAACTGTGTTGTGAAGAGACTAAGAGTGCAAGCATCACAGAACACCACACCCAGAAAAGCTGTCCAGAGTAGAGGAGGGAAGTCTGTCTCCTTTTACGTGAGGCGTTTCCTTTTATGGCGTCCCTGTGGAGTCGCGCTCCCCAATCCTGGTACTGGAGGGCCACTGCGCAAGCTGGCTTTCACTCAAACAGGTCTCTGAGTGAACTACTAGGAGGCTTGAGCTTTATCACAGCTTGCACTGAATGATATCACCTGAACGTTATGAGGTGTGTTTCTTTTAATAATGGTGCTGCAATGACTATTAAGATGCAGATGTCAATCCGGATAAATCATAATAAAAAAATCTTATTTCTGAACAGAAATGACAGCCAGCACGCATAGTGGTCCTATAGAAACAGAATCAGGGAGTGCTGGGGCTACTCAGAGGAGCAAACTTAAGATGCCAGATGCTCCGACCAAGCTTCATCCTTCTTTATCTAGTCCCACCCCTACATCCCCCCCACCCCTACATCATACCCCGGTCCCCCACCCCTACATCACCCACCGGCCCCTACACCCCCCCAGCCCTATGTCACCCCTCCCGGCCCCTACATCGCCCCTACGTCACCCCCTGGCCCCTACGTTGCCCCACGTCACCCGCAGCACCACGTCACCCCACCCCTATATCACTCCACTTAGCTCAATATACAAACCCACCCCAGGCTAAAGATAGAAGAACTCGACAATATTCAAATATATACCTCTTTTAGTACTGTGGACATGTTACACTGACTGACTGACTGACTCAACACTGAGAAACATCCTATTGGGTGTTAGGTTAACCCATATGTCTGTTAGTAAAACTCATTTTCTACAGGTTAGTAGGTTAGTGAAAAAACAGCTGTGTATTGTCACTCACTGTATTCATTGTACACTAAGTGTACAAAATATTAGGTTCACCTTCCCAATATTGTGTTGCACCCCCTTCTGCCCTCAGAACAGCCTCAATTTGTTGGGGCATGGACTCTACAAGGTGACGAAAGCGTTCCACGGGGATGCTGGCCCATGTTGACTCCAATGCTTTCCACAGTTGTCAAGTTGGCAGGATGTCTTTTGGGTGGTGGACCATTCTTGATACACACAGGAAACTGTTGTGTGAAAAACCTAGCAGCGTTGCAGTTCTTGACACAAACCGGTGCACCTAGCACCTACTACCATACTGTTCAAAGGCACTTAAAAATATTGTCTTGCTCATTCACCCTCTAAATGGCACACATACACAATCCATGTCTCAAGGCTTAAAAATCCTTAATTAACCTGTCTCCTCCCCTTCAACTACACTGATTGAAGTGGATTTAATAAGTGACATCAATAAGGGATCATAGCTTTGCACCTGGATTCACCTGGTCAGTCTATGTTATGGAAATGTTTTGTACACTCAGTGTATATTTTCTCTGAGAAGTTCACTGTACCAAAAAAACGATATTAATATCAATCTTCTCTAGTCATAATTCATCTTATTAATTACAATGGCCCTCTTGTATATGCTTTGGTATAACTCATTACACAAAAATCATCAACCAAACAAAACTAAATCTCATGGGGGCACATTGTCGTTTGATAAAAGTCAAATCCAACTCATGTGGAAAGAGATAGATAGGAACAAGTAATTTGATCCAGATTGTTGGAAGGTCCCCTCTTCAAATAGGGACACATGGCAAGGGAGCAACCCGGAAGGTGTGCATTGTCTGTCACAGTCTCACACACACAAACACACAGGTAGCCTGGACTTGTCCTTTACATCTGTAGACCACTGTGCATTTTGTGTGAATATTTACACACATTAAATAACTGAGCATATTGCATTTGAACACAACGTACAGGACGATAGTGTACATCTTATGAGACTTCCTGCCTCCATGTACGTACACACATTTGAAGACGACACAAAAAATATTGTGCAAACATTCATTTTGCACACGGTGTGTGTGTGTGTGTGTGTGTCCACTGTGCTGACCTGGATCACTCAATCACACACTCCCCAGTCCATCATGCCTTGACTCTAGAAAGATAACGTTTTTCTCATCCTGGCCTTCACTTCGTTTGTGCTGAGGTTCTCATAATAGCAGGACAGTTGCTCTATCGTCTCCCGCCGTGGCCTTTTCCTTCTCTCTCCCAAGTGGTTACCTGTTATTATACCTCAGCTGGTACAGCTTCCTCAGTAGGATCTGCATCATGTCAAAGGTGGTGAAGCTGATCCCCACGGCGATGGGCCCTTTGACCCAGTTCATACTGAGGCCCTTGTAGAGGCCCCGCACCACGCCCTCCTCCGCCACAATGTCCCGCATGGTACCCATGATGGTGCCGTAGGTGTGCCCCGTCACGCCCGCCGTCTGCATGCGCCGCCGCACCACATCCAGCGGGTAGGAGGCCGACTGGCCCAGGAGACCTGCGCATGCCCCGAACACCAGCCGCTCGTACGAGTAGGGCTGGGGGCGACCGCTCCGCTCTGGAGAGTGAGGGAGTGGTTGAGAGAGAGGGAGGGAGTGGGTGAGAGGGAGGGAGTGGGTGAGAGTGAGGGAGTGGGTGAGAGGGAGGGAGGGAGTGGGTGAGAGTGAGGGAGTGGGTGAGAGAGAGAGAGATACAGGGATGGGTGAGACAGGGTTCATAGTAGGAAACCTTATATTTACATATAGCTATGCACTGTATGCTGATAGAGAGACAGACAGACTAAACAAGACAGACAGACAGATAGACAGCTGAGACACTACAGTACCTGCATGCATTTTCTTGAGTGTCTCATAGGTGAAGAAGCTGAGTCCAGCGTAGGGCACCACGCCCAGTATGGTGGGGGTGAAACCACGGTACAGCGTCTTCAAACCCTCCTCACGAGAGATGCGCACAAACACATGGATGATGTTACTGTACCTGAGTGTGGGGGGGAGATTTAAAGTGTGAGTTATTCGCAGCACCACAAACTGTGTGTGTGTGTGTGTGTGTGTGTTTGGACACACCTACTCATTCAAGGGTTTTTCTTTATTTTTACTATTTTCTACATTGTAGAATAATAGTGAAGATATCAAAACTATGAAATAACACATATGGAATAATGTAGTAACCAAAAAAGTGTTAAACAAATCAAAATATATTTTATATTTTAGATTCTTCAAATAGCCACCCTTTGCCTTGATGACAGCTTTGCACACTCTTGGTATTCTCTCAACCAGCTTCACCTGGAATGCTTTTCCAACAGTCTTGAAGGAGTTCCCACATATGCTGAGCACTTGTTGGCTGCTTTTCCTTCACTCTGCCGTCCGACTCATCCCAAACCATCTCAATTGGGTTGAGGTCGGGGGATTGTGGAGGCCAGGTCATCTGATGCAGCACTCCATCACTCTCCTTCTTTGTAATATAGCCCTTACACAGCCTGGAGGTGTGTTGGGTCATTGTCCTGTTGAAAAACAAATTATAGTCCCACTAAGCCCAAACCAGATGGGACGGCGTATCGCTGCAGAATGCTGTGGTAGCCATGCTGGTTAAGTGTGACTTGAATTCTAAATAAATCACAGACAGTGTCACCAGCAAAGCACCCCCACACCATAACACCACATCCTCCATGCTTTACAGTGGGAACTACACATGCGGAGATCATCCATTCACCCACACCGCGTCTCACAAAGACACGGCGGTTGGAACCAAAAATCTCCAATTTGGACTCCAGACCAAAGGACAAATTTCAACCGGTCTAATGTCCATTGCTCGTGTTTCTTGGCCCAAGTAGGTCTCTTCTTCTTATTGGTGTCCTTTAGTAGTGGTTTCTTTGCAGCAATTCGACCATGAAGGCCTGGTTCACAGTGCCCTCTGAACAGTTGATGTTGAGATGTGTCTGTGACTTGAACTCTGTGAAGCATTTATTTCAGCTGCAATTTCTGAGGCTGGTAACTAATGAACTTATCCTCTGCATCAGAGGTAAATCTGGGTCTTCCATTCCTGAGGCGGTCCTCATGAGAGCCCGTTTTATCATAGCGCTTGATGGTTTTTGCGACTGCACTTGAAGAAACTTTCAAAGTTCTTGAAATTTTCCGTATTGACATTTTTGTAATTTAGCAGACACTCTTATCCAGAGCGACTTACAGTTAGTGAGTGCATACATTTTTTCATACTGGCCCCCTGTGGGAAACAAACCCACAACCCTGGCTTTGCAAGCGCCATGCTCTACCAACTGAGCTATTGACTGACTTAATGTCTTAACGTAATGATGGACTGTCATTTCTCTTTGCTTATTTGAGCTGATCTTGCCATAATAAGGACTTGGTATTTTACCAAATAGGGCTAATCTTCTGTATACCCCCCTTACCTTGTCACAACACAACTGATTGGCTCAAACGCATTAAGAAGGAAAGAAATTCCACAAATTAACTTTTAACAAGGCACACCTGTTAATTGAAATGCATTCCAGGTGACTACATCATGAAGCTGGTTGAGAGAATGCCAAGAGTGTGCAAATCAAGGCAAAGGGTGGCTATTTGAAGAATCTCAAATATAAAATATATTTTGATTTGTTAAAACACTTTTGGTTACTACATGATTCCATATGTGTTATTTCATAGTTTTGATGTCTTCACTATTATTCTACAATGTAAAAAATAGTACAAATAAAGAAAAACCCTTGAATGAGTAGGTGTGTCCAAACTTTTGACTGGTCCTGTATGTGTGTGCGTGCTCTCAGGGGTAGGGGTAGTTGTCTTACATCTCCTTGGGCGTGACGGCCATCCTGGCTCGCACCATGTCCAGAGGGTAGGTGAGCATGGCAGCTGTGGTACCGGCCATGGAACCCGCCAGTAACCTTGGCACCGGCGGCAGGGCTCTGGAACACAGTACACAGGATAGATAAGGGCCTGATTTGACAATCTTTGACTACCTAGACTCTGAGCCAGGCCTGAGAAACCTGGAGAAAACAGCAGACACTTCCAGTGTGTTCCACAAGTTAGCTTATGAGGACCCTATTTTAAGTGAAATATTAGCTTTTGTCTGAAGCCGAAAAAGACAGGAGATGGAAAAGCTAATTTGACCTAAGCACTAAAGGCTTTTCAGCATAAGCATCTTGACTACTGCTAGAGTACTGTAGTTGTATTGTTCTACTGTGCTTCAACAACAGATGTACTCACATTGGATGGGTTGATTAGGATTCAAACCATCTCTCAAACAGCCTAATACATTCTCTTAGAGGAGGTTTACCCATTAATGTAATTGGTCATGTAAACATGTTTTTTCATGCAAGACGACATCCCATTCCACTCATTTAAACATTATCGGGAGGGTTTCCCGGACACAGATTAGACCTAGTCCTGGACTACAAAGTAAGATCAACTGAAAATCTCCAGACAAAATGATTTATAGTCAAGGACTAGGTGTAATCTGTGTCGGCAAAACCACTCCTTAACCCTACATTTGACCTAGCCTAATACATAAGCCTACTCAGATGGTAAATGGACAAGGTAGTTGACAGCTTTTAAACATATTTTAAAGCAATACATGCTTGTTGTTTCCGGTTATACACAATGAAGTAACGCACTTTTCCTTAATCTAGTAAATTCATAATTCACACCGCTTCCTATCTCACTCATCAGCATGGCAGGTACAGTGGGGGGAAAAAAGTATTTAGTCAGCCACCAATTGTGCAAGTTCTCCCACTTAAAAAGATGAGAGAGGCCTGTAATTTTCATCATAGGTACACGTCAACTATGACAGACAAATTGAGAGAAAAAAAATCCAGAAAATCACATTGTAGGATTTTTAATGAATTTATTTGCAAATTATGGTGGAAAATAAGTATTTGGTCACCTACAAACAAGCAAGATTTCTGGCTCTCACAGACCTGTAACTTCTTCTTTAAGAGGCTCCTCTGTCCTCCACTCGTTACCTGTATTAATGGCACCTGTTTGAACTTGTTATCAGTATAAAAGACACCTGTCCACAACCTCAAACAGTCACACTCCAAACTCCACTATGGCCAAGACCAAAGAGCTGTCAAAGGACACCAGAAACAAAATTGTAGACCTGCACCAGGCTGGGAAGACTGAATCTGCAATAGGTAAGCAGCTTGGTTTGAAGAAATCAACTGTGGGAGCAATTATTAGGAAATGGAAGACATACAAGACCACTGATAATCTCCCTCGAACTGGGGCTCCACGCAAGATCTCACCCCGTGGGGTCAAAATGATCACAAGAACGGTGAGCAAAAATGCCAGAACCACACGGGGGGACCTAGTGAATGACCTGCAGAGAGCTGGGACCAAAGTAACAAAGCCTACCATCAGTAACACACTACGCCGCCAGGGACTCAAATCCTGCAGTGCCAGACGTGTCCCCCTACTTAAGCCAGTACATGTCCAGGCCCGTCTGAAGTTTGCTAGAGTGCATTTGGATGATCCAGAAGAGGATTGGGAGAATGTCATATGGTCAGATGAAACCAAAATAGAACTTTTTGGTAAAAACTCAACTCGTCGTGTTTGGAGGACAAAGAATGCTGAGTTGCACCATACCTACTGTGAAGCATGGGGGTGGAAACATCATGCTTTGGGGCTGTTTTTCTGCAAAGGGACCAGGACGACTGATCCGTGTAAAGGAAAGAATGAATGGGGCCATGTATCGTGAGATTTGGAGTGAAAACCTCCTTCCATCAGCAAGGGCATTGAAGATGAAACGTGGCTGGGACTTTCAGCATGACAATGATCCCAAACACACCGCCCGGGCAACGAAGGAGTGGCTTCGTAAGAAGCATTTCAAGGTCCTGGAGTGGCCTAGCCAGTCTCCAGATCTCAACCCCATAGAAAATCTTTGGAGGGAGTTAAAAGTCCGTGTTGCCCAGCGACAGCCCCAAAACATCACTGCTCTAGAGGAGATCTGCATGGAGGAATGGGCCAAAATACCAGCAACAGTGTGTGAAAACCTTGTGAAGACTTACAGAAAACGTTTGACCTGTGTCATTGCCAACAAAGGGTATATAACAAAGTATTGAGAAACTTTTGTTATTGACCAAATACTTATTTTCCACCATAATTTGCAAATAAATTCATTAAAAATCCTACAATGTGATTTTCTGGATTTCAGATTTCAGGATAATTTTTTAATCCCTGTGGTCCTCTGTAGCTCAATTGGTAGAGCATGGCTCTTGTAACGCCAGGGTAGTGGGTTCGATCCCCGGGACCACCCATACGTAAAAATGTATGCACACATGACTGTAAGTCGTTTGGATAAAAGCGTCTGCTAAATGGCATATTATTATTATATTATTATTTTGTCTGTCATAGTTGACGTGTACCTATGATGAAAATTACAGGCCTCTCTCATCTTTTTAAGTGGGAGAACTTGCACAATTGGTGGCTGACTAAATACTTTTTTTCCCCCACTGTATATATAGGATAGTGTCATAATGTTACCTCGTCAGCTTAGCGCCACATCTCTCTTCCTGGCAATTCCACCACGGTTGCTGATTAACCTATTGGCTCACTCGTGAATAATCACTATCCTTTCTTTCAACCAATGGGCATGACTCTAGGGGAGTATTTATATGTCAACTCGAACCTTGTGTCTCCCACTTGTTGTTTGGCAGCAACAGTCTTCCAACGACCTTCCACCTCCCCACCACCACCAGCATAATAACCTTAAGGCCCGTCATTGAAACTCCTTTCCCCCAGCAGGCAGGTTTCGATGCCTGCTGCCCAGCATAGGGCAACCTGTCATCAGCATCTGGCTCTGGGGAGCATTCCTCGGAGACGAGGCCTAACCAAAACAATTAAATAAAATTCCTTATTATATTCTGTCTCGGTAGTCATTCAGTTAAACCACTACTCGATTTAAGTTTTTAAAGGGTCAATCTGTGATTGCTTCATTAACTATTTTACTTTTAAATTACACACACACACACACACACACCCATTGATTCTTGAAGAATGTAACTTATATAATAAATGCCTCATGAGCTTAGTCCAATTGTCATACCCAATCAGAACCCAAAATATATGCTTGTTTTACTCAACTGTTGCAAACAATGTAATTTTAGACAAAAACTGTTTAGCCTCTGAATATGGTTTAAATTGTCATTTTGTATCCATAGCTCTACCGATGAATTTCAGAATGGTTACATTTCTCCACCCCCAATTCTGGAAGAGATGGAGCCCCGCACACTGTCAAAAAATAAAAATAAAATAATAATCAAAAACTGAGACTTGAATGAAATAAAGATGTTTATCCACCACCCCTATTCTTCAGCTTTTTACCAAAACAGTGGCAGGGTGATGGCTTTGTTGTTCTTTGAAATGCCGATTGACATTTTAAGAACCAACATATCAAGATTTGATCAAGATCAAGATTGCATGTGTGTCTTACATGAAAAAACAAGTTGACCTGACCAAGTACATTAAATGTGGTAAACCTACTCTAGGAGTATGTATTGGGCTGTTTGAGAAAAGGTTTGAATCCTACTTTGTATTTATTAAGGATCCCCATTAGTTCCTGCCAAGGCAGCAGCTACTCTTCCTGGGGTCCAGCAACATTAAGGCAGTTGTACACAATTTAAAATATTACATAACATTACATTTCATAACACTTTTCACAACACATTAATCATGTTCCCTCAGGCCACTACTCTACTATCACATATCTACAATACAAAATCCACGTGTACAGTTGAATTCAGAAGTTTACATACAAACATCAGGTTTGTAGGCCTCCTTGCTCGCACACGCTTTTTCAGTTCTGCCCACAAATGATCAATAGGATTGAGGTCAGGGCTTTGTATTGGCCACTCCAATACCTTGAGTTTGTTGGCCTTAAGCCATTTTGCCACAACTTTGGAAGGTCATTGTCCATTTGGAAGACCCATTTGCGACCAAGCTTTAACTTCCTGACTGATGTCTTGAGATGTTGCTTCAATATTTACACATACTTTTCCTTCCTCATGATGCCATCTATTTTGTGAAGTGCACCAGTTCCTCCTGCAGCAAAGCACCCCCACAGCATGATGCTGCCACCCCCGTGCTTCACGGTTGTGATGGTGTTCTTCGGCTTGCAAGGAACCCCCCTTTTTCCTCCAAACATAACGATGGTCATTATGGCCAAACAGTTCTATTTTTGTTTCATCAGACCAGAGGACATTTCTCAAAAAGTAAGATCTTTCTCCCCATGTGCAGTTGCAAACCGTAGTCTATCTTTTTAATAGTGGTTTTGGAGCAGTGGCTTCTTCCTTGCTGAGCGGCCTTTCAGGTTATGTCGATATAGGACTAGTTTTACTGTGGGTATATATAATTTGTACCTGTTTCCTCCAGCAACTTCACAAGGTCCTTTGCTGTTGTTCTGGGATTGATTTGCACTTTTCGCACCAAAGTACGTTCATCTCTAGGAGACAGAATGCGTCTCCTTCCTGAGCGGTATGACGGCTGCGTGGTCCCATGGTGTTTATACATGCGTACTATTGTTTGTACAGATGAACGTGGTACCTTCAGGCGTTTGGAAATTGCTCCCAAGGATGAACCAGACTTGTGGAGGACTACAATTGTTTTTCTGAGGTCTTGGCTGATTTCTTTTGATTTTCCCATGATGTCAAGCAAAGAGGCACTGAGTTTGAAGGTAAGCATTGAAATACATCCACAGGTACACCTCCAATTGACTCAAATGAAATCAATTAGCCTATCAGAAGCTTCTAAAGCCATGACATCATTTTCTGGAATTTTCCAAGCTGTTTAAAAGGCACAGTCAACTTAGTGTATGTAAACTTCTGACCCACTGGAATTGTGATACAGTGAATTATAAGTGAAATAATCTGTCTGTAAACAATTGTTGGAAAAATTACTTGTGTCATGCACAAAGAAGATGTCCTAACCGACAGTTTGTTAACAAGAAATGTGTGGAGTGGTTGAAAAACAAGTTTTAATGACTCCAACCTAAGTGTATGTAAACTTCCGACTTCAACTGTACGTGTGTGTAGTGAGTGTCTTATCATCTGTATGTGTGTCTGTGCCTCTGTGTGTGCCTCTGTGTGTGCGTGTCGCTTCACAGTCCCCGCTGTTCCATAAGGTGTATTTTTATATGTTTTTAAAAAATCTGATTCTACTGCTTGCATCAGTTACCTGATGTGGAATAGAGTTCCATGTAGCCATGGCTCTATGTAGTACTGTGCGCCTCCCATAGTCTGTTCTTGACTTAGGGATTGTGAAGAGACCTTTGGTGGCATGTTTGTGGGGTATGTATGGCTGTCAGCTGTATGCTAGATGTTTAAACAGACAGTTCGGTGCATTCAACATGTCAATACTTCTCACAAATACAAATAGTGATATCAATCTCTCCTCCACTTTGAGCCACGAGAGATTTACAGCTATTCATGTTAGCTCTCCGTGTACATTTAAGGGCCAGCTGCACTGATCTGAGCCAATTGTAATTTTTCTGAGGTCCCCCTTTGTGGCATCTGACCACACGACTGAACAGTAGTCCAGGTGCGACAAAACTAGAGCCTTTAGGACCTGCCTTGTTGATAGTGTTGTTAAAAAGGCAGAGCAGCGCTTTATTTACGGACAGACTTCTCCTCATCTTAGCTACTGTTGTATCAACATGTTTTGACCATGACAGTTTAAATCAACCCATCCAACGTGAGTACATCTGTTGTTGAAGTACAGTAGATCAATAAAGCTACAGTACTCTAGCAATAGTCAACCTGCTTTTGCTGAAAAGCCTTGTTAGTGCATAGGTCAAATTAGCGTTTGAATGTCATGTCTTTTTCGGCTTTAGACATATTTAACTTAAAACGTTGTTTTTTGTATTAATTTCCAGTGCCCCCCCCAATATTCAGGTCTCTCCAGAGCTGTTCGATCAGCTTCAAGTCCGGGCTCTGGCTGGCCCACTCAAGGACATTCAGAGACTTGTCCCGATGCCACTCCTGCTTTGGCTATGTACTTAGGGTTGTTGTCCTGTTGGAAGGTGAACTGTCGCCCCAGTCCAAGGTCCTGAGCGCTCTGGAGCAGGTTTTCATCAAGGATCTCTCTGTACTTTTCTTCGTTCACCTTTCCCTTGATCCTGACTAGTCTCCCAGTCCCTGAAAAACATCCCCACAGCATGATACTGCCACCACCATGCTTCACCGTAGGGATGGTGCCAGATTTCCTCCAGATGTGACGATTGGCATTCAGGCCAAAGAGTTCAATCTTGGTTTCATCAGACCAGAAAATCTTGTTTCTCATGGTCTGAGGTGCCTTTTGGAAAACTCCAAGCGGGCTGTCATTTGCCTTTTACTGAAGAGTGGCTTCCGCCTGGCCACTCTACAATAAATGCCTGATTGGTAGACTGCTGCAGAGATGATTGTCCTTCTGGAAGCTTCTCCCATCTCAAGAGGAACACTGGAGCTCTATCAGAGTGACCATCGGGTTCTTGGACCTTCAATGCTGCAGACACAATCCTGTCTCGGACCTCTACGGACAATTCCTTCGACCTCATGGCTTGGTTTTTGCTCTGACATGCACTGTCAACTGTGGGACCTTATAGACAGGTGTGTGCCTTTCCAAATCATGTCCAATCAATTGAATTGACCACAGGTGGACTCCAATCAAGTTGATGAAACACCTCAAGGATGATCAATGGAAACAGGATGCACCTGAGCTCAATTTCAAGTCTCAAAGCAAAGGCTCTAAATACTTACGTAAATAAGTTCTGTGTTTTATTTGCAATACATTTGCAAAAATTTCTAAAAACCTGTTTTTCGCTTTGTCATTATGGGGTATTGTGTGTAGATTGATGAGGACATTTTTGTTTTTTTAATCAATTTTAGAATAAGGCTGTAACTTAACACAATGTGGAAAAAGTCAAGGGGTCTGAATACTTTCCGAATGCACTGTAGCTAGCTGGCTAGCTACTGACTTGTGACCTTCAGAAGTGTGACACCGTTAACAATTAACGTTAACTACAGGCTTGCTAGTTAGCATTACATTCCTCCTGCTAGTAGTCTTTTTTCTATGGGATTTTTTTGTTGTTATTCTGTCTCTCACTGTTCAAATAAACCTACCATTAAAATTGTAGACTGATCATGTCTTTGTCAGTGGGCAAACGTACAAAATCAGCAGGGGATCAAATACTTTTTTCCTTCACTGTATATGGATGGGTACTCACTTGCCCTGGAAGCCGAAGTATCCTCCCAGTAGTCTCTTGTACTGCTCGTGGGCACAGAACTGAATGGCAGCGTACGGGATGACCCGCACCATGGTGGCAGAGTTGCCCCTCCATAGGCTGAGGAAGCCATCCTTCAGGTAGGTCCGATAGATCAACCTGTACGCCTCCTGGGGGTGGACCAACAGCATGGGGTTCATTCTCATCATCATAAACAGCATCATCATCAACAGTATCGCAATAATCACAAAGGTGAATTATGAATCATCATCAAATTAATGTTATACAGTACATGGGTTAAACAACTCACCTTGGCAGAGAATCTTGCTGAGGACACTAAAATGAAGGAAATAAATAGACAAAAATGTATGACATTGAAAATAAAAAAATAATTGAATCCTCACTATTCCAAAAGCATGTGAGATGTGTTGCCGCCTACCTTGGAAGATGATCTTGGTTCTATCCAGCGGGGCCACGGCTGTTTTGGCCAAGGCTCCAGCTAAGGCCCCTGAGAGGAGGGAGTTAACCACGGACCGCGTCTGGGGCTTCAGACCCTGCACAGACAGATGGACGGGCGGAAAGCAGGAGGGTACAAACATGACCAAAAGATGTCAATCAATTGATATTTACTAACAAAAACAAATACATTATGCATAAGTAGTCAATGTAGGCCTATGCATAAGTAGTAAGAGTTTCCATACAAAACAATGTATATGACTGTGTTGGTGGAAAAACAAGATTTAAGGAAGATGAAGATGTATTAAGATTTTACGAGATCAACAACATTTCCCTGCCGGGGAGTGCCTTGATTAATTAATTCAAAACTAAACCTAATCCAATAAAGGCATCTTGTTAACATTTTATAATAATTAAATAATTGGTCATTTAGCAGACGCTCTTATCCAGAGCGACTTACAGGAGCAATTAGGGTTAAGTGCCTTGCTCAAGGGCACATCGACAGATTTTTCACCTAGTCGGCTCGGGGATTAGAACCAGCGACCTTTCGGTTACTGGCACAACGCTCTTAACCACTAAGCTACCTGCCGCCCATTTTAAAAACACATGTCGTAACTCAGCAAGTCCAAACACCCTCAGGCTGTTTCATTGGGTTATTCCATGCCTGCATGCCACCCCTCCCTGTTATAATGTAGTTATCCATCTTCATGTCCCTACATGCAGGACAGCAGACCAGGCCTGGTTCCACAGCCTCTCCCTAGCTAAACCAAGCCTCTCCCTAGCTAAACCAAGCCTCTCCCTAGCTAAACCAAGCCTCTCCCTACCTAAACCAAGCCTCTCCCTAGCTAAACCAAGCCTCTCCCTAGCAAAATCAAGCCTCTCCCTAGCAAAATCAAGCCTCTCCCTAGCAAAACCAAGCCTCTCCCTAGCTAAACCAAGCCTCTCCCTAGCAAAACCAAGCCTCTCCCTAGCAAAACCAAGCCTCTCCCTAGCAAAACCAAGCCTGTCCCTAGCTAAACCAAGCCTGTCCCTAGCTAAACCAAGCATATCCAAGCCTCTCCCTAGCTAAACCAAACCTGTCCCTAGCTAAACCAAGCCTGTCCCTAGCTAAACCAAGCCTCTCCCTAGCTAAACCAAGCCTCTCCCTAGCTAAACCAAGCCTCTCCCTAGCTAAACCAAGCCTCTCCCTAGCTAAACCAAGCCTCTCCCTAGCTAAACCAAGCCTCTCCCTAGCAAAACCAAGCCTCTCCCTAGCTAAACCAAGCCTCTCCCTAGCTAAACCAAGCCTCTCCCTAGCTAAACCAAGCCTCTCCCTAGCTAAACCAAGCCTCTCCCTAGCTAAACCAAGCCTCTCCCTAGCTAAACCAAGCCTCTCCCTAGCTAAACCAAGCCTCTCCCTAGCAAAACCAAGCCTCTCCCTAGCAAAACCAAGCCTGTCCCTAGCTAAACCAAGCCTGTCCCTAGCTAAACCAAGCATATCCAAGCCTCTCCCTAGCTAAACCAAACCTGTCCCTAGCTAAACCAAGCCTGTCCCTAGCTAAACCAAGCCTCTCCCTAGCTAAACCAAGCATGTCCCTAGCAAAACCACGCCTGTCCCTAGCAAAACCACGCCTGTCCCTAGCAAAACCACGCCTGTCCCTAGCAAAACCACGCCTCTCCCTAGCAAAACCACGCCTCTCCCTAGCAAAACCACGCCTATCCCAAGCCTCTCCCTAGCTAAACCAAGCCTGTCCCTAGCTAAACCAAGCCTGTCCCTAGCTAAACCAAGCATGTCCCCAGCTAAACCAAGCCTCTACCTAGCAAAACCAAGCCTCTTCCTAGCTAAACCAAGCCTGTCCCTAGCTAAACCAAGCATGTCCCTAGCTAAACCAAGCCTCTCCCTAGCTAAATCAAGCCTGTCCCTAGCAAAACCAAGCCTCTCCCTAGCAAAACCAAGCCTCTCCCTAGCTAAACCAAGCCTCTTCCTAGCTAAACCAAGCCTGTCCCTAGCTAAACCAAGCATGTCCCTAGCTAAACCAAGCCTCTACCTAGCTAAACCAAGCCTGTCCCTAGCAAAACCAAGCCTCTCCCTAGCAAAACCAAGCCTCTCCCTAGCAAAACCAAGCCTCTCCCTAGCTAAACCAAGCCTGTCCCTAGCTAAACCAAGCCTATCCCTAGCTAAACCAAGCCTATCCCAAGCCTCTCCCTAGCTAAACCAAGCCTCTTCCTAGCTAAACCAAGCCTGTCCCTAGCTAAACCAAGCCTATCCCAAGCCTCTTCCTAGCTAAACCAAGCCTCTTCCTAGCTAAACCAAGCATGTCCCTTGCTAAACCAAGCCTTGTTTGAGTTGCAGTAGATCATTAAACTTAGCTTGCATAAGAATAATATAATGACCAACATCTGTTCACTCAGTCCAGGGAGAACAAGTTAGAAATGGGCCCAGACTTGGTTAGAGACCGACCCAGCTAAGCATACAGGACTATTCTTAGAGGAGCAAACGGTTTGGGAACACTATTTGTTCACCACACAGGCTTTGAAGCACCGGACTGATGGTAATGCCGTTATGCCATCTAATGATCTGCCAGCGAGAGCAGAGAGAGTGACTGAGTGTGTGTGTGTGTGTGTGTGTGTGTGTGTGTGTGTGTGTGTGAGTGAGTGAGTGAGTGAGTGAGTGAGTGAGTGAGTGAGTGAGTGAGTGAGTGAGTGAGTGAGTGAGTGAGTGAGTGAGTGAGTGAGTGAGTGAGTGAGTGAGAGAGAGAGAGAAATAAAAGAGAGGGTAGGCTGTGTGTCCAGTTGAATGGACTGGCTCAGCTCATCCCACTCCTCTGTCCTCATTCACTCCATTCCTGAGACGTCTCGCGCAGCGACCAATGTAAGGATAAACAAACACACTCAAGTGGAAAAAGTCAGAGGCTGGGAGATAGGCCAGTGTGTGTCGACTGTGTGTGTGTGTGTGATGAGAAAAGATAGCCGACCCTGACGATGAGTCATAAAATAAAATAAGTACTGACAAGAATGACTAGAAGTCAATATTAGAAAAACAAGATGGAAGAATGAGGCCCTGTTTGGACATAGAAGTCTCTTGTTACTGGCATTAAATCACTCCTAGAATCTAAAAAACACCAGATAGGCTATACCTTGATATTCTATATGATAAACTCCTTGTACACCACTAGGGCGGAGAAAGAGCAGAATAGAGCTAATACAGAATATAGGCTATCTTTGCCATGCATATCCTCATATCATGGCTTTGAGTTATTTGGTTTAGGCCTACTGTTTGTCTTGCATTAAGAAAGCAGTTTTAGTCCGGAATAACTTATTCTCTTGGCCAGGTTAAGGCATGACCTTCCTCCACACAAAGGAAAGCCATGGGAAGCTACAGTTATGGTGGGAAAAAAGGCCATATTTCAAACCGGCTCCTAGCCCCTACGCAAAACAATGTGTAGATCTGCAAAGGTTGGACTTGGAATTGGAATTAAGAGTTGGGTCAATAATAGAGCCAAAGTTAGAGTTTTTCCTAATCACATGACCTGACGGGGCAAAACTCCAGGTCCCAGCCAATGAACACATTGAACTACAGCTTACCTCTGCCTGGGTGTCGGAGGGCAGTGGCAACACCTCTCCCTGTGTGAGTGGCGTTGCCTGGTGTTGCTGGACTCCATTCCCCATCCCCGTGGACTACGACGCTCACCAGCCGCTGCCCACACTCATACACACCGGCCACCGGGGGGCGGCAACGCCAACTACCTGAAACTAGGGACGGCAAGGCCCAGGGGACAAACAGACAGGGGAAAACACATGAATGATCATGTCAATGCCTCTCTACTGATTGCCACTGTTTGTCAGCTGAAATGCAACACTGTCGAGACACTAGAATTACGTCACACGACAACAATTACCAATGCCCCAGCACTCCACTGAACAGATCTTTTCTACAGTACACCAAATCCCTGTGGATCAAATAACATGACAAAGAATGGGTTAACAGAGCAGAACTCCATGGACGACTGCTCAATTAGTGAATTATTAACTAATCAGAGCCGATTAATAAAGACCCTGTGAGAGGCTTTGCATTCAGGAGTAATGCCCCTGTCAAGAGAGCTCTCTGTTCCACCCTTACACAACCGTTGGTGGTCTAGGCTAACCCTATATTTAGCCATCAACAGAAAAGGTGTTGATGTATGGTGTTTTCAACACATTCGTGACTGCTTTGACAAAGATCTTACTTGGAGTTTATGACAACTAAATAAAAGGAAGGGACATTGAAGTTTCCACCACATGTATCCAGACTGAGTGTTACCATTGAAAGAATGAAGAGAGACATTTGAGAGCAACAGGCTACTTGAGTTACCCCTCTGTCTGTCTGCCCTACATCTCAGGGCTATAATAAGTGACTGGGCAACATTTCATCAACAGCAGCACCTCTGGACTAGCACAGAGCTGCTGCTGCTTTCTGGGTGAAAGGTGTCTGTCCAAGGCAGAGAGAACACTCAAGAACACCACCATACACTAGGGTCGTCACGATCCTATGATACCAGATTTGCAAAATTAACAAATGTGACAACATGAGGCTGTTTTTTTTCCAACATTAGGACTGTTAAGTCTGATTCCTGTTATGTTTCCTTGCCACGATACTTCTGAGTATCTCAATACTGGAATTGTTACAACCCTACCACACACAGCTTAGTGAGCTCACACACGTGTTCTTGTATTGTGCACAAACACACACACCAGACAAGCTCATCAACGCACACATTTTTATTCGATTTTCTTCTCAGGGTCCTGTCGCAAACAAAAACAAAGTGAAAACGAGTGACTAAACTCCAATATGGAATTGGCAGTCAGACAGACCGAAGAAACTCTGCATACCTACAGAAGGACTCCACTTCATCCTACTCTGAGAGAAGAAACATAGCAAGCTTAAGCATCTCTGACGAGGATATCATTACACTGCACAATCACCCATTCTTGAAACCCAGACTGAATCGCCTTTTAGGAATAGCGGGGAGAATGAGGGATGAAAAGAGTGGTATAAAGAGGGATGAGCCTAGAAAGAGAGCAAACAAAAGGGGTCTGTTGGAAGACTGAGTAGTCAGTGGCAACTAATGTTGGCATCCATACAGCATGGCCAAATGCCAAACTCCAGAAAAAGCACTCAAACAGC